GCATTGCTGTTATTTTCTGATCGCCAGAATTGGTGCAGTTGTCATGGATCCTGTGATGAGTCTAATGGCTTGATTCTGCACTGTCTAACGATTGTAGATGGGAATTAGACAATCACAGATCACCTCAGTGTTCTTGACTTGCGCTATATATATGGCTACGCCAACCTGGTATTTTTTCTTTTTGCCTTCCCCTTGTTCTCTTTTGATCAGCCCTGCTGGTCATTACCAAGTTGAAGTCGATTTGCCTGAAAAACCAAGTGTCTACTTCTATTATTTTTTTAAACCAGAAAATCTAGCCAGAGTTAACTTTCATCAGTCTTGAGGAAGACTGTTGTTTCTGTTTTATATCATCCCATGAATTATGTTTATTCTTCTCAGAAACCTTATCTCTCCTGCAAGTAAGTGTTTTTCAATTTGTCTGTTGCTGTCAATGTCTCATTTGCATGTAACAAATTAGGTTCTTTATAGCACTTGAACATATTTGTTTTCACTGTAGCTGACATCCTGTTTATTCCAATTTGTTTTTATACTTATGAACACCACATGCTTACTAAATTGACAGACTACTTACAACTGTCCTCATATGTCAAGACTACTTTCTTACAACTGTCCTCATATGTCAAGACTACTTTCTTACAACTGTCCTCATATGTCAAGACTACTTTCTTACAACTGTCCTCATATGTCAAGACTACTTGCAACTGTCCTCATGTGTCAAGACTACTTACAACTGTCCTCATGTGTCAAAACTACTTACAACTGTCCTCATGTGTCAAAACTACTTACAACTGTCCTCATATGTCAAGACTACTTGCTTACAACTGTCCTCATATGTCAAGACTACTTGCTTACAACTGTCCTCATATTTCAAGACTACTTGCTTACAACTGTCCTCATATGTCAAGACTACTTGCTTACAACTGTCCTCATGTGTCAAGACTACTTACAACTGTCCTCATGTGTCAAGACTACTTACAACTGTCCTCATATGTCAAGACTACTTACAACTGTCCTCATGTGTCAAGACTACTTACAACTGTCCTCATATGTCAAGACTACTTGCTTACAACTGTCCTCATGTGTCAAGACTACTTACAACTGTCCTCATGTGTCAAGACTACTTACAACTGTCCTCATGTGTCAAGACTACTTACAACTGTCCTCATATGTCAAGACTACTTGCTTACAACTGTCCTCATATGTCAAGACTACTCGCTTACAACTGTCCTCACATGTCAAGACTACTTACAACTGTCCTCATATGTTAAGACTACTTACAACTGTCTTCATGTGTTAAGACTACTTACAACTGTCCTCATGTGTCAAGACTACTTACAACTGTCCTCATATGTCAAGACTACTTGCTTACAACTGTCCTCATGTGTCAAGACTACTTACAACTGTCCTCATGTGTCAAGACTACTTACAACTGTCCTCATGTGTCAAGACTACTTACAACTGTCCTCATATGTCAAGACTACTTGCTTACAACTGTCCTCATAAGTCAAGACTACTCGCTTACAACTGTCCTCACATGTCAAGACTACTTACAACTGTCCTCATATGTTAAGACTACTTACAACTGTCTTCATGTGTTAAGACTACTTACAACTGTCTTCATGTGTTAAGACTACTTACAACTGTCCTCATATGTCAAGACTACTTACAACTGGAGTATCGTCAGGTATACTCAAGTCTACTCTTGGTCTTTTGCTTTCCTCAGAAGGCTCTACATCCTGCTGCTGTGCATATTTCTGAAATAAGAAAAAGATACACGTATGTTAGAAAAATTTTTAAGTGACATGTAAACACACACAATAATAACAAACAATTTTAAATTCACTCTTTTCCTAGCAAAAATGTATGCTTAACATAACAGGCCATACAATCTGTTTCCAACATTTCCAGTCTAGCTGTAAATATTTAAAAAAAAAATATATATATATATAAATATTTCAGACAATTCTACCTCAACAACTGTTTTGTGCTGAAAACAAATATGATGCATTGTACGTTGTGTAGACAAGAGCAGTGACACGTTATTTTATCAATCTATTACTATTATCAATACTATTGTGCTAAAATAGTGATTTCCTCTAAAGGATCTAACAATCGAATTATTTTCAGTTAGGTTAATTTTAATCAGAACATTATCAGTGAGCTGCATGTTGACAATCAATGTTTATTAGAATTAATAAAATGACTCATTTCTCAAGTTAGTTACATCCATGAAGTAACCCTTACATCATATCCTATTAGGTGACAAGGCCAAACACTTTACCCTTCACTATCTGTATCTTCTATGGGACTACAATCAGCTTTAGCGCCATTTTTATTTCTACATAAAAGTCTTGTCCTGGTCTAGTGTAAGCCCACTAAAGTGACAACAACATTTTTAATAAAATGCCCTCTGTCACACTCTGGGTATTCCCTGAGAAACCTAAGATGTACTACTCCCTTCATTATGAATGCACTTCTAAAACTTTTGATAATGTGAGTAAGTTGAACCCCATAATGAACACTGACTACACAGACATCCCACTACAAACTCTGGCCAAGATCTGCTGTAGCCTTTGTTTTTTTCAACGCTGTTAATCAGAGCTAGTCTTTTACTGGAGCAGCTGGCCGCACAATTAGGAATACTGAGTTCTCAGGTATGAATCCTTTCTAACATTACAGGTATCTCACCTTTAAAGGCAAAAATAAAATCCTAACCTGCAATAGGTGACAACGGCACTAGCGAAGCTACACTGCCAAAATGGTAAATAAAGTATTGGCAGTTTAATCTAAGGATGCCATTTTGCACAATAAGGAGAATGAGAGATTTAGTCAAATGTTATTCCCAAGGTATTTAGCACTGTCCTTCCACTCAATGATCTGCCTTGTCAGAGTCATGTCAGATGCATTATTTTACAACATTGGTCTCCAAACATTTTCATGTGGCTCTCCTTTGAGTAAATACCATTTTCAGGTGGCACTCCCTTGAGTATATCTACCTTTAAAAAAATTATTTGTTTAGGCCTGATGTTAGACACATCATACAGGCACTGCTTCAATGTACTAATTTCAAATGTAATTGATGCTCCCCTCTCAAAACTTCTATATAATTTCACAGAAATTACCTTTAGTCATAAATTACTATGAAATGATGTCTGCGCCCCAACAGAAGGAATATTATGTTTTCTACTGAATTTGTCTGGCCCAAATACTAACATGCCTGAGAAAAGTCATACTAACCATCAGCAGCAATTCTTGGCTTTAGGGACCAATTAAGAAATAAAACTAAAAAACAACATCTAAGACAAACAGAGTTTTGGAGCAATTTTCACATCCAACGGAAAACTGGAAAGAGAATTAGCTTGAGATGTGCCAAAGCTAATAAAAAATGGAACAACTATCTCCCCTGTTGACACACAAGCAGATACCCTGAAGTACTAAAGTGAATCTTATCAGAACTTTTTTGGGGCCAACAATATGCTTGCTTTCTGTGCCAAACGTGGACAGTTACTTCCTCTAATGAACGTAAAATTGTGACAACAGAGATGAAATGCCTTAGAAGAGCTGCCTGATTTTCAAGGAAAGTCAAAAAAAAAGAAATCAGATGAATGCTCGGAATAAACCCAGCCTTACAGGTCATCAAAGAACAACAAATGAAGTGGTTTGGACACCTAACAAGACAACAAATGAAGTGGTTTGGACACCTAACAAGAATGCCCTGGTACTATCTACCACAGGAAGCCACACTAAAACATTACAACGGGCATAGAGTGAGTGGAAGACCTCTGAAAAAATAGAGTGATGGCATCAAGAATAGCCTTACAAAAATGAACATCATGTGGAAGAACTAAGAAAATATAGAGTTATGGCATCAAGAACAGCCTTACAAATATGAACATCAGTCTTAAAAGTGCTCTTGACAGAGCTCACCAACAAATGTTACATCCCCCGACACTTCGATGAGGCACAAGGTGGAAGAGAAGAAGGAAACAATCTTGCCTTCACTACTAATTAAGAACTATTATTAAACAGTCAAGACCATTCTCATGTCATCTGAGCAATGGGTATAACAGTCCCACCAGCAAAAGATTGGGGTCTCACCAACTAATATTCTCAAAGGCAGCAGTGGGTGTATCCACTGCATCCAGCCTCACTGTGACATGCCCCCTCCCCCCAAAAAATTAGTTAGCCATTCAATCCATTATTCTGACATAATTTCTCTGCTGCATTGTTAACTGCATGGAAGAGTCGTGCAGCAAAGTAAATACTCTTCCTCCAAGACTGTCCCAAATACAACCTATCAAGGGAAAACATTTGGTTAAGAGAAACATCGGTGCAAGGGAAAACATTTGGTTAAGAGAAACATCGGTGCAAGGGAAAACATTTGGTTAAGAGAAACATCTGTGCAAGCCAAACTTTACAGGTCGCTAAGTGAATTACAAAAAATAGTGAAATTCATACTAGAGAAAACATTGCAGTTATAGATAATCTATTTCAAGCTAGCGAAAGAAGAAGAAGAATTCTCAACAAGGCTAAAGCTAACTGCCATTTCTGCACCATTCAGCCTAATATATCTGGTTTAAACTACTTTTTACAACATACCTATTTAAGGGGCAGTGGGCCAATTCCCCCCTCCCCCCAAACAATCAGGTGTCAATTTGAATTGGAAAACTCTCAGTGTGATCAGCATCCTTATAGGGTCTTCTGGATAAATGATGTCTGTTGTGAAAATTCTTTCCCATGTTAAATGTATGACTCAAACCATTTCACTATTATTCAAGATTCTTCACTGCTTTACATTTCAATAAAAGAGAAACATATCACAAAAGCATCATTTTACAGGATGTACACTAATTATTAATTGTTTAAACCAAAAGAAAATTATGCTAGCACACACGTGTTTTACCTACTTAGTGACTCACTTCCATGAATTTTAAGTCTAGTTCCTTGGGGGAAAAAGGGGGGGGGGGGGGGGGGGGCTGGTCACAGATAAATTAATAGACAGCAGCTACACATACTTACCCTCTTGGTCAACAGCTTCGGAGAGTCTACTGACTGCTGAGATGTGCCTTCCTCCTGCTCAGTCCCTTCTGCAGCCTGACTTTGTTGTTTATTTAATGTGTCTTCTGTAATTTCCTCTGTTATCTCTGTTGCTGCCCGAGTCATCATTGTCTCATCCTCCTCACTTTCATCTTGCTCAATTTCATTCTCCAGCATGTCATCATTTTCATTAGTCAGCAGCATGTTATCTTCTGGATCTGTTAGATACACTATGGGATCAGTACAGTGTGTACCCACATCGGATCTGGTAGCCTAGGAATGATAAATATTACACTGCAACTTATTTTATTACTGTGTACGATTTAACAGCTGGTCATTTAATTTCTTACGGATCTGAACAGACAGAGAAACTAGTTTATTTTTTAGAATGTTTATGTGAAGAAAAAGAAAGGCTGTTTACAACAGATTCAATTAATAGGCTTTTATGGGGGAAACTACTTTCTCAAATGATCAACGTCCTTAAATGTGGAAGTTCTTTCCAATTTTAAATGCTGGTACCACTCAAACCAGTCAATTTCTATTTAAGACTTCCTACTGCTGAATATTTCAATGTCACCTACATATCCTTTTTTCTACCAAACATTTCATCTTTAACATTATCATTCATCATGATCATTTCTCTATGCATATACATAAGATGTAGTTCTGAATGCTGTGAAATTATCATATCTTTTAATCTGTGTAATCAGTGTATTATGGATAAAACTGACAAGTATGTGTCATTTATAACTATGCTGTTTCTATAAATTAGATCCCTCTATTTAACAAGCAGCGGCATTATAGTATACATACTATACTTATTTCTAGTTGACTCTGAGAAGTGCATCAGTTGTTATGTCTTTATTTACAGCAAGGGAGGTTCTGACATTTGTACCTTTAAGGTAACATGTCCAAATTCAGCATGTTTTGGTCAACTGCCTCTCTCTATGTGTTAGTTAATTTCACAACTATCAGTTTGTTCCACTTCTTTTTCTTCTTCACAGCACTCATCAGTTTTTAACTCCAGGTGAAAGATCTGGCTGTACATCCATTGCAAGCATATATTTTCTAAAAGTATTTTGGATGAGGATGCATACATGCATACAGTAAAGATGTCATGTGACCATTAAGAAAGGTGATCTTGACCTTTAAATGCTTAGTGACATTTTGGAATGCAGTAGAAGAGGAAGAATTCTCAATACTTAGAAAAAGGAAAGAAAACCTATTTTCACAATTCTTTTTGCTGGCGGTTACTGATTGTAATGTCCATTATATAAGAGACAGTGAGAATCATAGCAGCTGATATCTTTTTGCTGGTGGTTACTGATTGTAATGTCCATTATATAAGAGACAGTGAGAATCATAGCAGCTGATATCTTTTTGCTGGTGGTTACTGATTGTAATGTCCATTATATAAGAGACAGTGAGAATCATAGCAGCTGATATCTTTTTGCTGGCGGGTTACTGATTGTAATGTCCATTATATAAGAGACAGTGAGAATCATAGCAGCTGATATCTTTTTGCTGGTGGTTACTGATTGTAATGTCCATTATATAAGAGACAGTGAGAATCATAGCAGCTGATATCTTTTTGCTGGTGGTTACTGATTGTAATGTCCATTATATAAGAGACAGTGAGAATCATAGCAGCTGATATCTTTTTGCTGGTGGTTACTGATTGTAATGTCCATTATATAAGAGACAGTGAGAATCATAGCAGCTGATATCTTTTTGCTGGTGGTTACTGATTGTAATGTCCATTATATAAGAGACAGTGAGAATCATAGCAGCTGATATCTTTTTGCTGGTGGTTACTGATTGTAATGTCCATTATATAAGAGACAGTGAGAATCATAGCAGCTGATATCAGCTTGCAACAGCGGATGGGTCCAGGTGCTTTTTCATAGATAATATAAAACAATTCTTGAATTACATAATTCTCACTATTTATTTAAACTTACAAATATGAATGACATTATTGTGTTCTCACCTTTAAAGTTTCCAGTTCTTTTCTCAAAGAGGCTTCCATACTTTTATGCATCTGAATTTCCAAATCCGAGTCTAGTAGCCTACTCTGTAAGCTGCTATTTTCCTTCCTCACCTTCTCTACTTCTAATTCTGTCTCATCTATCGTGGTGACCTGAAAGGAAATAAAACAAATAGAAAAAATAAAAACATTACCAACAATGTTACTGTGTTCATTTATAGGATCTGTGTGGGTAGGAATGGAATGGCTTGCATCCAGTTGGCTGAAGTGATCAACACCTATCATATTTTTGTTGTAATTTTCTATAAGAACTGGAATGTTTATTATTCTGCCTTCAGGAATTGAACTTTTCCTAAATGTCTTGTCTATTACATCAAGCTACGAGTCTGGTTTCTTTCATGAGACATGATTTTTAAAAAAGCTGGATATGTGCTTGTAATAAAAACGGACAAAATTCACTATGACGTCCAGACAGACCTGCAAACATATTATGTCACCAACTGGAAAGAGAAGGCCAACCAGATAGATTAGTGGAGGCGGGTGATATCTGCAGCACGGAACATTGTATAAGAAGTGATCTGATTAAATGTTCTCTAGTCTCTTGCTTCCCATGTTTGTTTAAGTGTCTTTTCTTTGAAACCTGGTACTGCTTATCTGCAGTCATTTGGCTTCTAGTTTGATTACTCTCAGACCATTATTATCTGAAGCTGTATGTAGGTTTCTTTGACTTATATTCCTGCATTCTTTACGCAAACACATGTATATGATGAAGGTACCTGTATTGTACTATAAACTAGTATATTTGTAGGGCTGCACATGAGCAAAAGAAAAATCAAAATTACCGAACTGATACAGAATAAGTCCCACAACCCAATCACTACTTGAAATTACAAATTGGCATCTGCTTACATTTTCTTGCAGCTGAGTCCTTCTAATAATTGGCCGATTAAAACATCCTGTGATCTGAAGAATGTTTAATGACTCTCTACACACAGACTGCACCTGCAAGGAAACCAAAACAAATGCTTTAATGTAATATAATCTATTTCATAGAGTGACGAGAAACAATATTTTTTAATACACCAAGAGAGATTTTAAGCAAAATTTACACAAACAAGAACAGTTATTTACACTCAAATGTGTTAGAAAAATGTACCATGGTAAAAACTGATGGAACGCACTTCTTTGTACCATTTATGTATGCTAGCAAATCATAATTGCAGTTTTCTTCTAAATCTGGCACTGTTCATTAATTCTTTCCATGGTGAAGCGGTCAAGCCTTCTGTCTCTAATGGTCAAGGATTTGTTTTCAGGCTTTGCTGTTCGGTTAAAGCATCAATATTTTTTCCAAGATATCTAAGGATCATTTCTGGAGCTAGAGTTTTGCTTTGTGTAATGCTTAAAGCAGAAAGTTGCTCTGAGACAGAGCCATGATGAATAAAACCCTTTTCTACCGTCACTTCTCTCATATTTGTTTGAAAGTGGTTTTTTTAAAAAAAATGATACCTTTTTTTGGGTGCAAGTTTTGTTCATTTTGTTGAGCTTTCCCGTTTTAAAAGTCTTCATCACATGCTCCATTTTTAAAAGGCTGGATCAACTAAAAGACCACAAACAAGTGGATTGAATAAAAAAAACTCTTTAAATAGAGGCTGCAATGTGATTGTTGTATCTGTAAGTGAGTGGACTATCTGTGTATGCAGCCTTGGCTCTGTGGCACACATCTTCACCACCACGTTCAGGTGTCAAGGTCAGTCTGATGATGTTTGAAATAAAGACTGAAGTGTTTTACACAAGTAACTTTGTTCCCTATTTTGCAACAATCAGTACAGAAAGTGTGTTCCATAACATTTCATTCCTGCAGTTTTATCTTCAAGCTATTACATGTATCTTTTATTTAAATAACATCGCTGAAATTACATCAAAATAATGTTAGCTTGTTTAAATTTACCTCATAGCAACAGTTGTCTTGCATCCCATTCACTAAAATACTTAGTGCTAAATTTGTCAGCTGGAAATGAGTAATGGCATCTTTCCTACTGCAGCCTGGTTCAAGTCTGACAGTTGCACATGCAAAAACGGCAGCATGCAGTTCTCTCTTACATACAGCAATTGTGTAAGGAGAATCTGCAGGTGGTTCTTCATGATAAAACATCTGGGCTGTGTCTACAATACATCTCATCAAGCTCTGTAAGTAAAAAGTTTTCAATACTCAACATAAGTATCTATGCTGCAATGTCATTTGCCAATCCAAAATATACATGGTTTTCATAGTCAACAAGTTGTCATATGACTGACTAGGATAATTAATAGTGTGAGCCTAAATATACCTGATGTTACTTGTTTAAATTCAAAGCTTTTATGTTTTCCCCCTCTTCATTCTATTTTCCAAAGGGTCTAAGCCACCAAACTTACTAGTTTCCAAAGAGTTTAAGCCAACATCACATCACTGACTGCACATTCCTCTTTGCCAAGAACTTCAATACATGATGCATTAACAATGATCAACTTGCTGCTGGACCTGCAACTCGGAGGCGGTGATAAATTGTTCCAGTTTCTGGATATCTGAGTTATCTCACAATATTTAGTTTCATGTGAAACTTCTCCTCCACCTTGTCATATTTATTATTTGGTTGTTGTTGATTATTACCAGATAAATGTTGACCTTTTTTATTCACAGTTCCCACACTAATATTAACTTCTCTGTCTCTTAAAATAACAACAGGACCACTTCACAGTGAACCGCATTTTCTTCCTGATTGGTCTGAGACCAGAACCGTTTCATGTGCTTTGCATGTCCCTTTCCACCAGGTTTCCAAAAATGTTACTTATAATAGATTTAATTGCCTGGTTTAGTCCAAGATTGTGGAAAGCCTTATTCTCCTGTCTTCTACCTCATCTTTGTCTACACCGTGCCCTATATGTAGGCTTAGTGGAAATAATGGTCTAACTAAAACCCTATATTTAATATCCGGTCTTTTACTTCAAATTTTTTTTCCCACTGCTGCCTATCTTTAGTCACTGCCCCTAAGTGCCATTTTGAATCAAGCCCTCATGCACAAAAGCACCATCATTTTTATCAAACGAACAAAAATTAGTGTCAATAGCATAACATGGAAAATAAAATTTCTAACAGATAAAGAAAAGAAAAATTCAGATGAATACACAGCCATATCATAAAGCATCAAAACTAATCATTGGCTAACCATCTTAGTATCGTATGAGATACAAGTCATACTTGGAAGCATTCATCTCTTCTTTAAGCATTAGATACTCACTAGATGACAATATATGCTCCAGGATTGCTGTGAATGCTATACAATTAGTAAACAAGCCAAAAAATTTATTGAGACCTCAGAGATGAGGTTTATAAAAAAAAAGTTTAAAATTATTTAAGTGAAAATGAGTAAGCAGATGTTTCGAAGTGAAAACCTGAATACAACCACAAACATCAGATAGGTAAGGTCATGCTTTGGCTACACTATGAGCAAGAAACTCGAACATAGGACAACTCGAAAGATTTATGAAGAGAGACAGTGGAAGACGATATGAGCAGATTCTTAATAGCCTTCTCTCACAGCACTAAAAGCTATCAGTACACCAACAGATACATGCTGTCAGAGATAGCAAGCTGTAGAGAGGCATGAGTGCCCACACCAGTCAGCAAGTCACTTGATGATGATGATGATAGGCTCAAATCATAATTACATGTTCAATCTGATAGGCTATTATTTATCAACTAGTTTTTATAAAATATAAAGAAATACACACCTCAACAGACAAAAATCCCACCTGTCCAAGCATCAACTTTGCCACTGTAAAACAAGAAGGAAATGTATACACATGATGTGTCACTGAAACAACAAAATGGGGTTGAGTGTAGAGTGGTAACAGGAAAGTAAATGGCTGACTGAAAAATGTGAAGTAATCGACTTCAAGTTGGTACAGAAATGAACACAGAGATTTCCCCAAAAGAATAAAAATTGGCAATAAACGAACAAACCAAATAAAATGATTGTGAATAAACACATGTGATGGTTTTATAATCTCTCAGCCACCAAACTACTACTTTGATGTTGTGAAATAAGTCTACTTTGTCCTTGTCCAATTTCTGCCCTAGAGACTTCTGAGGTATCTGTTTTAGATGTGTAAAACTGAAGTCAACTATTTCCCCACCCCCTTGTGTCCTCTCTGGTAACCAACACATACACTAGAGACTTCTGAGGTATCTATGTTAAAGATGTGTATAACTGAAGTCAACTATCTCCCCACCCCCTTGTGTCCCCTCTGGTAACCAACACATACACTAGAGACTTCTGAGGTATCTATGTTAAAGATGTGTATAACTGAAGTCAACTATCTCCCCACCCCCTTGTGTCCCCTCTGGTAACCAACACATACACTAGAGACTTCTGAGGTATCTATGTTATAGATGTGTATAACTGAAGTCAACTATCTCCCCACCCCCTTGCGTCCTCTCTGGTAACCAAAACATACACTAGAGACTTCTGAGGTATCTATGTTAAAGATGTGTATAACTGAAGTCATCTATCTCCCCACCCCCTTGTGTCCCCTCTGGTAACCAACACATACACTAGAGACCGAAGCTGGACTGCGTCAGTAAATACAGACTGCTCAGTATGACATATCTGATTTCTAAGAAATAAGCAACAGCTTAATTTTCAGGAAGATAACCCATTTTTGTTTGATAATTACAAAACACTTACATTCCAAAGCTCCAATAATCATCTGTAGATCATTAGGATCATCATCTGTGGCATTCTTGTCTTCTGTTCCATTTGTCTTTACCAAATCAACATAAGATTCTGCTTTATTTTTCTTCTTCCTTCCTTTTTTCTTTCCTTGAACTGTATCTTGCTGTCTTTTATTACTGTTTTGAGTGGCAGCAGTTGAGGACTAAAAATTTTTTATAAAAAAATATATTAAAAAACATGGAAATGAAAGCAGCACTTTAGTAATCAACAAACCTTGATACTTAAAATTCAAAACAAATTTACAAGAAACCCGACAAATCTTGACCAAGTATTTTCCTGAAATCATTCAACAATAAGACAAATTTCACCATTACTGAGAACCACAATCAAGAAAACTGAAATTAAACTGGTTTAGGGGTGTTAATAGCATTAACTGACTTGCCTTCTAAAAAATATGTTAAAGGGCAACACACCACTGGCTGGGCAACGTGTAAAACTACTGAAAAGCATGGAAAAGTATTCAAATGTATTCTTCTTCTTCTTCACGTTCACCAGCTGTACACTCTGGCTGAAAGTTCTGGTTGCTCGTCCAGTACTGAACTGCAGTCCTGCTCCAGAACCTGAGTGTTGCATGTGCATCAGTTTTACAGATCTCATTCTCTTGAATACAGACTGTTGGTTCCTTGCCGTTCCAGCAGATGCACTCCGACTTCAAAGGAAGCTCCCAAATTAGTCGACTCTTACGACATGCTTTTGGGGAGGCAGTGGGTCTATTCTTGTTTTCCCCTACAATGGGGCCCCGGAACCCACACCGGGGTTCAAATGTATTGATCTGTACTGAAGTGAAAGAAGTAGGGATCAGAGTACACACTAGAAAAGTAAAACTTGGCAGCTATAGGTAGCATTATAAAACCTGCCACTGACAAAACCTAACAGAACAGGCAAACTAGCCATCCTTTGGAGGTGAGTGTCAGCCATATTAAAAAAGTCCTCTAATTCATATTTTTTGTTTCTTGGATGCTAATCAATACCTATGAATTTATATCCCATGCTAAAAGGAACCAAACTGCATCATTCATTCACTCCCAAAAAATGTGCTCTCTGTTTCACCTGAAAAATCATGTCAGGTGATTATCATTCACCTGTCATTTCTTAACCTATATAACCAACATGACGAGGAAACTAAATATATTAAAGTCAATGAATAAGACCTTGAAAGGTACCAGTGTTATGTTAATTAATTATGGGCGTTTGCATAAATTACATTACAGCCCTATGAGTAAGGTGACCAGCTCCTTTCCAAAATATATTTCTGTACCTCAGAACTTCATGGACTTTGGAAAAAATCCTAAACTGAATGCTGACCTCAAATCCAAAAAGGTGCAATACTGCAGTCTCCAACTGCAAAATACCTAGTAGTGAGGAAACTGACTCACAGGTGAAGGACAATGGAATAATGTCTTATCCTGATATGGGAATGACCTTATAATCCATGCTGTGTAGTGCTGGCCAGCATTTCTGTCTAGGGTCTCATCTCAGGATAAGACAAATATTTCTTCTACAGATGTTCTTCCATGTCATGATACCCATTATCCAATACCCTCTCTGTTGCTCTCCTACAGTTTCTCCTCCTTTATGTTGCTCTCCTACAGTTTCTCCTCCTCTCCATGCTTTCCTAGTCTCTCCTCCTTTCTGTTGCTCTCCTACAGTTTCTCCTCCTTTCTGTTGCTCTCCTACAGTTTCTCCTCCTCTCCATGCTTTCCTAGTCTCTCCTCTCTGTTGCTCTCCTTTAGTTTCTCCTCATCTCCTACAGCATCTCCTCCTCTCTGCTGCTCTCCTACAGTTTCTCCTCCCCTCTGCTGCTCTCCTACAGTTTCTCCTCCTCTCCATGCCTTCCTAGTTTCTCCTCCTCTCCAAATATTCTATTGTCACAGTGTACTCCAGTTTCCCACTCTCATGACATTCTCAATGTGGACATCTCCAGATTTGCTAAACTAATTCTCTTTGTGAGTTAAGGAAATGGCCTTCAATAAGGCTAAAAATATAAGCTGAAAAAACAAACCCAAGTGGAGAGCAGACCATTCAGGTCTTCAGAAAAATTATTTGTGTAGAAGTGAACAAGTTTTGTTCTTTACACTCTGCACAGGATATAACAAACTGATACACCACCTATATGAGCTAAAGACAAAAGTTGGTGTTAACTGTAACTATAACAATTATACAATTACAGCAACATCTTTACTGTGTGAGCGTCCAACGCGTAATATATAATTTCATATAATGTTCTCTCTAATAGTTGTCTCAATGCATAAATGGCATCTGTGCAACTTCTACTGCGTCGAAAGCCCATTTGTGCTTCTGAAAGTTGATACTCTATTATTGGTCTTAGCCTTCTTTCGATGATCTAATCATTCATTTTTCCAACGTGACTGAGTGATATTCTGTAATTTAGTACAGTCCCTCTTACATCATTTATTTTTCCATAGCAGGACGATGACAGCAGTTTACCAGTCTGATGGTGTTTCTTGATTCTCCATGCAACCCGGAATATTCTCTCCAACCACAACTACAAGTGCTTAGTTTGTTCCCCCACACTCATGCATATATGATATATGACGGCCAATGTTGCCCAGAGACCAGAACTGATGCACATTTTGAGAATATGGTGACCTTAGAATTAATCAATGCTGACACAGTGAGAGCTGAACTCAGCAGTCAGGAAAAGAAATATGACTTGTGAAACTGTAAAGTAACAAAATAAAAAACATGCACAAACAGGGAATTGTTAGGCAAGATAAAGATGAACAGCTTAAATGGCTGGGTAAATTCAACTATAAAATATCAGATGAACGAACTTTAAAAGTCCTGTCTGCTCTAGACCGCACACGAGAGATCAACAAAGAGGGAAAGGCAGATTAGAAGACACCGAAGCAGAGAGAAACTGACAGGGAGGGGGATAGAGGCAAAGAGACACAGAAAGAGCATGGGAGGACAAGGCATAGTGGATGGAAAGAAAGCAGTAAACAGACAGAGATAAGGAGGGGAGGGACAGCAAGGGGCAAACAGATATAGAAAGAGACGGGGAAGAGGGCAGACTGAAAGGGATACAGAGAGGCGGTATAAGGCCAGCAGTTTTATTCTTTGATGTAGTAAAAATTGTCTAACATACACTTCTTCCAATGATCATAGGTGTCATGTTCACTTTCCTATTACCCTCGGAAAATTTCCAGACTTTGGTTTCTTTAAAAAAAATTTCCAAGCCTCATTAAAACCTCTGAGGTCCATGTTGCCCTTCAAAGAGTTTTTCCAGCTTTCAAGAGCCATTACCAGCTCTGATTCAAAGTGCTCACATATGACCAAATGTGCAGTACTTACCTGTTTAGCTGAATTCTCCCACTTGATATCTGCTGTCAGCTCCTGAATGAAAGACTTACACTGACGTGTCATGTACTTCCCCCATCCAAACATCCGTACTAGTAAGCACAGCACTTGATAAGTACATGCCCGTGTCTTGCTATAAGATCAAGAATTGAAAGCCAGATAATAAAAATTCCTAGTAGTTTTCTTCTCAGACTTTTCAAGATGAACTGTTTAGTTTGTATAAGGCTATTTTAGCAGGATAAATGAATAACAAGTATTGATGGGCACTAAGAGAAGAGAGATTGTAGGACACATCTCTTCTCTTTCCAGGTCTGCTTCTTTTTGTTCTGCCAGTGGTATTCATCTGAAGAGGATAAGCAGTCATGATGTGATGACACCTTGGACAAGCCAAGTACCAGTGCTCCATGTATCGACTCTGCATTGATCAAAGCTACCTCGAATGATAGGGAATGCCCACGCTCAGCCCCCGCCTTCCCTGCACATGACTGCCTTGGCCGGGTTCCCTAGGGGATGACAACGTCCCCAACATATGGGACTACAAATATCCCACAAATCTAACCTGGAAAGAAAATGCCTAAACAGTCGGATGTGTAGCCTGACACATACTGCAGATGTGCTGTAAAGAGGAACAACACCTTTATGTCACTGGAGCGAATGGTGAAGAAGAAACTCTTACAGCTCACCTTTCATAAATTACTATAAATGTGATCCTTGAAATTAGTTGATTTACCAGTAATACCAATAATTTACTAGCAATATTTTAGCTCAATTATAGAACATTTTTAAAGCTAAAATTTCTAATTCAGCATCGAATGCTAACCTGCAAGGTAAAACATTTTTCATGCAAATAGTGCATCAGGCATTAAATTCACAACTGTGTGGACTAATCAGACTTGAACTTGTGATGTAAACATCTCACCAGAAGCTGTGTTTTTTCTTGAGACATTTCCTGGCATCCATTTTCAGTTAGCAACCAAGAGGACAATTATGAAAATCTGCCAGGATGCAAATTTAAAAACAAGACCAGAAAGCAAACATGTAGTTACTGTGATAACTAATTAATGGAGTGATTGAAGATTTAACATTTCTAACTAAGCTAGGTTATTTTGGATCTAGCAAAATGTATACTATCATCAAGTTACAACCAATTAATAAGGATCCACATTACCTTCTCTCTGAAATCTCCATGTGTCTTGCAGAAGTTAGGGCTTGCATGCACAGATCAATGATCACTCTACTGTGTGGAAGGACACTTGTCTTGCAACTGAATATCAATCATTAAATATGGAAGTATCATCAAACAAGAAAAAATCTAACAGAAGTACAATCAAAGAAGAAACAAAAACAACAACAAAAAAAGCAATCTGAAACAACAAAGTTAATGCAAATGCCACATTTTACTGATTCAGCCCTAAGTCAGATTTCATTTTGAGGCATTGATTTATTTATTCCATATCTTTGGTGGTCTTCCAAAGTCCACTGGTATATGTTAACATTGAAACATTTGAAGATTAAAAATACTTAACTTAGTTTAGAAACAATATAATTTAGAGTTACAGATTTTGTTCAGACTGTTAAGAGCTGCTGTTACCTTGCCAATATATGCCATAATATTTTTCTTTGTATTTCCTTCACTATCAAGCTTACTACCTAATACCCATGGCCCATATAAGATAGCAAAGTATGAATTAAAAAATGCTGGTCTGACACTGGTTACAATAATTGTCCCGGATAAATCTCTCAATGTATTTTGAGGCCAGGTTAGGTCAGACCTAGGGCCATGCTGGTCAGGACAAAAAACTATGTTAATGGAAAACTGAATTTTTTAAGCAGAGCATTACTTTTCCTCACGGCTAATCACACTGGCTAAAACTATACAGTTCCTGACGCTGTACCACTGTTGATGCCTGCCAAAATAATTTCTCTTGGAAAATGAAAAAATTACAGGTTCCCCTGGCCATCTCCAGGCATGCACAATGCACATCTCAAACACTTATTTACCTCTCCAAAAGAAAGAAATCTGAAATCTCACAAAGTAAAAAACCCATATGCTTAGATTCTGTCAATATTTCTGGTGACTACCATTATAGAAACTTTAGAAATATAAAGGCTAATGTGTATCTGGTGTCAAAGAGGTTTGATGCTATGAATCACCAATATATACCTCAGCACCAGCTGAGAAAGTATCTCTAAAGTTGCTCTATGAAGTTCTGGCAGAATTCCAGCTAGTTCAGACATGGAGGGCACTGCTGTCTGCAAAAAAATAAAAAATTTATAAACTTAACAGTTGTTTGTGATAAGAATATACAAATGTAAAATTACAAACAAACATGCACGATTCATTTTGTTTCAGACTTTGAGTTGGTTTCAGTTCGGAACTTGTCTAATCTTTAAGACTTTAGACCTCACAGTTTGTATAGACATATTTTAAAGGTTGTGCATAAGTTCCATGTTTACGAAAAGAAATTTGTTAAAGACTATCACCAACACACTGCAGTGTATATTTTGTCTTCTTCAGACACTAATCAATAGGGAAAACCAAAAATCAAACCCTATTCCAAAATTTTTTGGAACTAATTAATAATTTTTTTTAAAAATCTATTTCACAGCATAGTTGCCAAACCATATGCACTCGGACAACCATGGCAAATGTCAAAAGGAATTGTAGTGATGATGCTGACTGTTCTATGAAACCACCGGTCATACTCTTCCTCTTATTCACCTTTTCCTGCTGGATCCACAATAAATTCAAAATTTGCATAACCTTACACATGCTGTTTCACCTAACATCATACCTTCATGGCTGGATCTGCACCACTGGATGGTGAGTTGATACATGACAAGGCAGATGTGGTTAAGGCCCTTTGGGAACAAGCAATGGAATCAGTAGAGAAAGAAGACTATTATGGCCTGGAGAGAATGAGGCACCTGGGTGTAATCAGAGGATCTAGCAGCCTCACTACACTCAGAGGAAAGACAAGACGGACATATAACCAGATTGTGGCTGGTACCATCAGTTTTAGAACTCTGCTCTGGTTGCTAAAGATGAGGACGGAGCGCACATGGGAATGCTCAGAGTGCGGTGATGCCAATTCTGGGCTCAACTCAACTGGTGAATACAGAGAAACAGAACATAAATCTAACAACTTACCACATCAATATATGCCACTCTAAGACACCTTGAAACAACATCTAACAACAGACCCAGTGGTAGCCTTACAGGTCCATTCGTTGGTTCACTGGAATTGAATTTAAAGAACAGAGTAGCTTTATTTACTGTTGATAAACACACTGTAATCTTGCATCAGTAAATTATAATGCGACTATATGCGATCAAAATTTAATCAGTATATATAACTCACTGTTCATGAAGTGGATTCCATAAATTTGTGCCACAAGGTTATAAAATAAAAGCAGAAAGTTCATGGTGCAAGAATTTCATCTTCTTTTACCCCACCAGGAAATCACACAAGCGATAAACACCCGACGACATCAAGTGCCACCATGTGGATCACCCGTGGAGAGGTCCCAGAAACCGCATTCGCAATTATGCCATATTTAAAGCCAGGCTATATTGCGGCCCCTGACAAGAGCCAGAGTAGGGCTTCAAATACTAAAAAATGGCATCTCACAAGGAGATGACTAGATAATGATTTAGATGACTAGATAATGATTTAGATGACTAGATATTGATTTAGATGACTAGATAATGATTTTAGATTATTTTACAATGCTTGCCTTTGATTAAGGGCAGTCCAAAAAGTCACCAAGCAAACACAGAAAGATAAGTAGATGGATCAGCAAGCTAGCTAATTCATGTTTGTGAACTGGTGAGAGATATCTTTTGTTGTTAGGCTACTTGTGGTAAATTAAAGCACACTTAGTGCACCTGGTTCATTTGAAAGCATTCTTAAAATTAATAAAGCTGTTCACAGTTCTGTTTAATAGTAGCTGCAATGTTTCAAATGCTGCTGCATGCCTATGAATACATTTGTTTGTGTCACTGATAATGTCAGAAGAGAAGCATTTATAAACAGAAATACTTAGGGAATACAGACGGGGTGCAAAGAGACACACATGCATTAACAAATTACATCTAAATACATTCAAGGGGAAAACGATGGATAAATACTTGAATGGCTTCACTACATGTCGGGAGCAGGACAAGAAAACAAACATAACTGACTCAGGATGCTGGTGATTGTGAGTGTACGGAATGATGAATCGAAATAGCCTACATGTATCAACATCATGTGAGTTTGTGTGCGAGAGAGAGAGAGCAAGTATGTATGTGCTTCATTCACCTGATCATGCAGATAAGATTCTGGCAGTGTTGAAGGAAATCTGTGGCTACCTCCAGAAATGATCTATCAGTGAGTGTTGCATCTGTGACACTGCCACTATCATCTGAAACAAAGCATATTTAATAAGTTTAATCATTTATTCATATCTAATCTACATCTCATGGTCACGATGATAGTTTTGATAAGTAACTCAGTCACATGTCAATAACATCAACTATCCAACCATCTATCTCATAAACTGGACATTATTCAGATATCTTACAAAATACAGTATTATACGTTCATTAAAATTTTTAATTCTTTATGGGAATAAACAATATACATGCCCACAAACCAAAGACAAGTACGCCCATACGCGTCCGCCATCTGTCACCGACAGAGAAGCAATGCCTCCTTCATGAGTCACCTTCAGCAGCTAACCTGCGGTTATTCGTGAAAGTGTAGACCTACTTGTTTAGTGTGGACCCTTTGCTCTCGTTACTATCCTCTTCTTGCAACGTGGACTGTTTGCACTCGTCACCATCCCTATTATATTCATCCAATGACTTCATAGCTGGTGTAGGCGATCACACCTCTGTACTCTGCTGGTACAATTGACCAGCCAATGAATTCACGTAACAACTTCTTGATCTGTGACATTTCCTCTGCCAAAACACGGCCCTTGAAAGACATTTCTGTCAAAGGTATTATAAGAACTACACCTCTTTATTTAGAGTAATGACCCAAACCACACTACTAACAATTTTATTATGAAACAAACATCCCAATATTGAAGTTTGTGGGTTGAGGATAAAACCTACCAAGACACATCATAAACCCACCAACTTTATCAACTGTAACCTGAACCTTTCTAAACATATCCATTTGCTGTTCTACAATAAAGCAATCATTTAATCTGATAAAGAACATTTAAATTGAATCTCAGAAGAAAAAACTTTCAATCATTCAATCTAATTGAAAATTATGTAACCAAACAAAAATGAACTGATTAGCTGTTTACCCTTTTCCAGACCATCATACAGTACAGACAAAGCATCTTCCATTGACATCAGCTTCTGGGTAAACCTATGTGTCCATTCTTCTGGTTTCTTACTCTTATTACTTTCAGCATTGATAGCTGTTGGATGTCCACTGAACATTGTCATTATCTGCAACAATAAACACATCAGTAGCTATAGTCCTCTGAAAGTACTGGAGAGTTTTGGGAAATGCCACTCTGGTCTCAAGATTCAATGAAGGGAGAACTTCAACTGCACCTCCACGCGGTAGAAGACGGTAAACACACTGCGGTGTGGCCAACGCAGCTATGGGGACCGAGAATCCGCCAGGATAAGTGAACACATCTGGGGTGCCCTCTGCTGTTAGCAGGAGCACCACAGAGCAGGACACTCACTGGCCCTAGCAATAGAAAAGGTTGCTGAAGGCTGAGGACATGGTCTAAAGCCATGTGGCTGTGAAAAGCAACGGAAAACTACCACATTACTATCCCAAGAAACTCATCATGGAAGCCACACCAGCAAGGAGATAAAAATTAGAATTTTGAGAGCATGCATCTTCCCTGTGTGATGTCATACATGTGATACAGATGTGAGTCGTGGACTATCTCTCAGTCCTTAAGAAATAAAACAGGGGCTTTTGAGCTAAAATGCTATAGAAAGATTCTCAAAATATCTTGGACAAAGAAGATAAGAAATATTGACATCTTAAAAGATCTGAACATCAAGGAAGATTGGCTAACAGCATCCTTTCTCGAAAGCTAAAATATTTTGGTCATATCAAGCGCCACAACGGATTGAAAAAAATTATAGCAGAAGGCATGGTACTAGGAAGGAGGGACAGGGGAAGACCGACACGAAGATAGGCACAGGATATAAGTGACTCCTTGAGTGTGAAAGTGCATGAGGTGGGAGAACTTGCAAGAGACGAAGTTTCTTTCAGGCAGACTGTGATGAGAGCGACGTTCTGCAAAGGACCTGCTACATGATGATGAGCCGTAGCGTAGAAAGATAAAAAAAAATGATCTAACTGGTCTGCATTCAAAAGTCAAAATACCAAAAACACTCTGTCCTAAGGATTCTGGTGCATCCGAGTTAGGTCAGAAGACTATGAAGGATGTTTTAGAGCAGTCAAACTGGGTATGTCATTTCATTACAAGAGACAAATGTGTGCTGGCATATTATTATAATGCAATAGAATCCAACTGTGGTTTCAAAAGAAATGCTAATGCACTAAATTACGTATGTTTGTTTTGGTTTTTTCATAAACGTTTAGAAAAGATTTCTTATGAAAAAAAATTTGGAGTCACATCTATACACTGTTTGAAATGTTACATGCGTTAGACTAAAACTATATCCGTTCAGATCAAGAGGAAAGGTAAATGTTGTATCAACAGTGCTGGTTTGGTTAGAATTTTTCAAGGTCAACAATTCTTCTAGAACTTTCTGAGGCAAACCTTGTAACGCACTAACTAAGCTGCCGGTGACAATGACACAAGTTTTTAATTACCATTGAAAGAAATCAAGACTAGTGTTGTTTACTGCTAAAAATCACTAACAAAAGTAGTTCCCCTAGACTCCATATACAATATCAATAGGAAGAACGGCACTCTTCTGAATACCGGTCCTAAATTAATCAGTTTTTAAAAATCCCATTTACCACCTTAAGAAGTCTTAAAGTTAAAAATTTGGAACAGGAACACTACAAACTAGTTCATATTTCATAGGCAACCAATTCTCTATTTTTTTAGCTCTTAAAAAGGCGGTTGGCCAGTTGTGTTGTGGTTTACAGCTAGGCTGCAATATCTGCGCCTTTTGCTAAAACACATTCAATGGCTAATTTGTGCCATTCGCCTCAACGGACGAAAAAGCGTGCCGCCATTGTGGCTGTTTACACCGGAACTAAATCAACATAGAACTGGTACTATTAGCCATCGGACGTTGGGGTTCATACTGAGGGGAGGATCTGAGCACCTATGGACATGCCCGGAGTGCAATGATGATAACCCAACTAACTAACTAACTAACTAACTAACATTCAATGGCTATCTTCCGAATGAAGGTCCCAAATTATGGTGGCTGAAAAATATGGAGTTCCAGCCGAGGAACAAATCGCGGCAAAACTAGGATTACTTCACACTTTCAAGAGACGCAACATTGCAGACGATAATAGTGACCGTTGACAATTTTGAGCGTTTCTGCAGATGATGGTAGCAGACGATAATAGCATGCGCAAAACGCTATTAAACTCACCGCCGAGCGTATCCCCTGCGCCGCTACGGGCGGATGGGTGGCTGAACTAGGGGCCTGGGACACGAGCAAATTAATTGGAGGAAGTTGCAGGAGATGCGGCAGCTGCTGCTCGTGAGTCCTAGCCATCTAGTTTAGCCCCCAACCGCTACGCGCGCGGGATACTATGGTCGGCAGTGAGGCATAGTCACAGAAACAGGTCAGCAGGTAACATATCGCTGAGACCCTGTTGGAGCATATGTTTCGACAGTTTCGTTATACGAAGCCAGCATATTTTTAGTAGGAATGAGCCCCGTACGGATATTTGTTGCCGCCATAAATGCGGGGGTAGAAGTTAGGTTGGAGGAGAGCCAAACCAAACAAAACCTCAGTAGTAGTCAGTCAGTGTCAGTAGTATTTATTTTTCTTTTTTTCTTGAATGGACCACACCACAAACACCTTTTGCAGGCTAGCCCACTATACTTAGAGCTCGTTATAAGTATGGGAAAAAACCTAGTCTCAAGAGGAAAGTGTGCAGAGCAAGCTATAAGGAACCATGAATTACCAGCAACTGACATGCCATTTTATAGTGACAGTCCACCTAATTAACCTAACGTAACGTTAAACCGTTTAACGTCACTAACGATGCGTGCGAAACCCGAAACGCAAAAAAAAGAATTTAATTTCAACTCAGAAGAAGGTTAATAAACTAAAAGCGCTAACATTGTGGGACAGAAATACAAAATATTCATTAACAATATTTTAAAATTGTTTATAAAGCACAATAATAAATATGTACCTGTTTATTTGGCAAGCAATCAAGCAGATATACAAGACTACTTAGCTCAAAGAACACGCGTGTTTACACATCAGGGTTGCCAGATAAAAATACCCACCTTTTTTTAAGCCAAACTACCACCTAAAATACGCCAGAAACGCCAAACAACTATAACAGTGCACTCTAGATTGAATTCTCGACTGTAGTCCTCACAGAGGCAAGTGAAAGACGCAGCCTAAACCTTTTCAGCCTCAAGTGCAGGCCATATTTGATTTTTTTATGCATGAACATTTAGTTCTATGCAACTGTATGTGCTACAGTGTTCTCCCCAGACCAAGCGCTGTCACGATTTCACTCAGACAATCAATTGTGCGTATAGCAAGCACAATAGCAGGGCATGCTTACACCAAGTTCAACTTTGCTGCTTTAACTTTGTCATTACTTTGCATAGCTTTAATTGTTGTAATAAGCTGTGGCTTTTTGACAGGAATTTTCACCCTTTGTTTTTCGGATTTTTATGATTTAATATGTTACCAATCCTTGGCGTAACAGTGCACTGACACCGTCTACAACATACTGCCTCTGACCCTTCTGAAGATCTTTCAAACATGGGTATGTTTTCTCCCAGTGATTATTATACTTGCGATTGCTGTCATAAGATTCTTTCCTTCTGTGTGTGTGTGTGTGTGTGTGTGTGTGTGTGTGTGTGACGTGAGGATTGGTGAAAGTAATGAAATCTATCACAAATAGAACTAGGTCTATATCATCTCTATTTTCTATCCTCATGTAGTTTCTACAGTCTGAATCTCTTGGTATCAGTGGTGGGATTTAGTTTTATGTCCCGCATTTATTCAAGTAAATAAACATAAATTACAGAGGACCTTGGTTTATCGAAGTCACGATCCATTTAGGAATACAACAACAAATCACACAATAAGAGATGGCGCGAATCTCCGTTAGTCCGTGCCAGGACATAACAAAGACAAACTAAAATTAAGATGTTCACTGCAGTCTTTTATTGCTTTTAATAAATCTGCGTGTTTCTCACGGAGTAATTATAAAGAAAAGTGAGCACGTCTTGTTAAGAAAAGCCAGGAAAAACCTAAATACGCCAGCTCATTATCTTGGTTTGATTTGATTCAAGAAACGACATCAAGCACTCGGGGCATTCCCATAAGCGTTACGTCCCCATCTTCAGCAGCCATCGAAGAGTTCCTATACTAATGGTGCCAGTAGCATTCTGATTAAACGTCCGCCTTTACTTTCCTCTGAGCCTCAAGCATCTGCCAGCACCTCTCGTCACTCCCAACTGCATCAATCTCACCAGACTGTGGTGATCTTTAATCAATTTCACCAGACTGTGGTGATCAATCTGTTCCTTCGAACTGTACATGCTCTTCCACTAGGCACTAACCTCGTCTACCTTATTATGCATCAGTATTCTACCAAGTTGTGCAGAGCCAGCCAGTCTGACCGCCTGTTCATTTCCCAACACACCGGCATTCCGGTGAAAAAATCCAGACTGTACTCATCACCCGTGTCCTCCGCAGCGAAGCATGTCACTCTGCACGAAGCATGCCACTCTGCACGAAGATTACCTGTCCTGATCCATAGTCTTTAGTGCACTAGGTCCTTTTAGGCATCTTGTGACAACACTCTCCACATGGTCCTTAAATGTCAGGCTCCTGTCAAATGTAATTCCCAGATACTCAGTTTGCTCTCTCTGTTGACGTTTCTACCATCTATCGTGGGACTTGTGACTTTAGCTTTAACGATCATGTTGTCAGAGAACACCACAAAACAGACGACTTTTCTGGGTTTTGACAGCCCTCATTACTGTACACCACATATCATTATCTTCAGCCCAATCAATTTCAAATACGCCAAATTTACGGAATCTGGCGTCAAATACGCCAGAATGGCAACCTTGGTTTGCATAAACACAATATGTTAGTTGCTGCTACCGTTTTTGCCCTGCTCGATTGATTTCAACTCTTCTCTTTTCTTCCCCTCTTCCTTTTTCACAGGGTTCGGTTCGGTTTCTGGAAAACAAAAATTTCAAACTTGATCTTCTTTCAACTGCACAAAGGCCGGTTACATCAAGGAAAGATCTTAGTTGATTTCTGTTTCTTTGTGGCGATTAATTTCGCATGAGTTTGTTTCT